TGACATGTTTCCTCTTTTTACACCTGCTTTCTTGGTGGGCTGATTTGACTTTGTGCCTTATACCTATTATAGGCTGACAGTCCCCACACTTGTTATATCTTCAGTCCCAGACTCTTCCCCAGACTCAAGCTCATATATCCAACTTCCTATTCAGTATCTCCCCTGGGAGATTGAACAGGTATCTCCAACTCAACATATGCAAAATGAAACTCTTGATCTTCCCGTCCAAACCTGTCTGGCCTTTAGTCACCTCCACCTCAGTTAACGGTCACTTCGTCCAACCTTTCTCTTGCATGCCAAATGATATATATAAGAAAATACAATTGACCTTGCTTTCAGAACACATTTAGAATCTGACCATTTCTCAACACTTAGGATCCTGTTCCAGGCCACCATCTTTTCTTGCATGCATTATTTCAGTAGACTTATAATTGATCCCCCTGTTTCCTCTCCTGCCTCCGTAAATCTATTCTTGACATATAGTCAGAGGGATCCTTTAAATGCAAAGGCCAGATCATAATCCTGTACATATTTCTCTTCTCCATATATATATATATATATAACAGTCCAGTGGCTTCACATATCACTCATGGAGAGAGCCCAGCCATCACAGGAGCCTGTGTGGTTTTCCTCTGTCTGACATCCTATTGCCTCTTTGTTCTCCCAATGGCATTGTTCCCTTCCTGGTTTCTGTCAGGTCAGTGTCATCAATTCCCCCTCCCCCTCCCCCCCCCATTTATCTTCACAGTACTTACCCACTTGTATCATTCACTTATTTATTGTTTGTCTTCCAGGACTAGAATATAAGGCCCACGATGGCCATGATTTTGCCAGTTTTGTTCATTGACCCCTAGACTTCTAGAAGGAAGCTTGATAAATATATTTTGACCATGTGAACACATACTAAGCCATATTCTTCTGGAAATTTACCTATGCTATGATTCTAGGTTTCAGTTGAATTTAACTAGTTGAAGAGAGGTGTATGTGGGACTCTGCTGTCAGCCTCACATGGCTTCAAGCCCTGGTATTGTCCCTGCCTACAGGCACCTGTGTAAATAAGGCAGGTCTAGACCAATAAGTACCATGCCAGGCAGTCAGGGGCTGCCCAAAGAGAGTAAAACCAGAGCACCAGCCAGTATGCATTTCTTACACATTAAAAAAAAAATTCTGATTCATTTCTTCAACCCTGAAAACTTGAGATTCTTAAAATCTAGGGCTTTAGATGTATTGTTTAGTCTGATTCTTTGTACTTAAATAGTGCCACACACATACATCTATTTTTGATTATTAAATAATTGTGGACTTGCATTTAAATGTGAAGTCTAATAGGGGAAACTTCTTCCTTTCCCTTCCCTTTGAAGGTTTGCCAAGTTAGGAGCCTCAGACAAGTGATGTTATAAAACTTCCTTGTGGCACTAGAGCTGGATGCCTTTTATTTCCTTTTTTAACCTAATTGCTCTGGCTAGGAACTTCAGTATGATGTTGAATAGAAGTGGTAAGAGCAGACATCCTTGCATTGTTCCTGATTTTAGGCTGAAGGCTTTCAAGTTTTGTTCTTTTATCATTCCATACGATGGTAGCTGTTGGTTTCCATGCTCTTTGTTGGGTCAAGGCAGTTCCCTTCTATTCCTAGCTTGTTGAGTGTGTTTATCATGAAAAGTCATAGGATTTTGTGAAATACTTTTTCTCCATCTATCGAGGTGGTCATTATTTTGGGTTGTATTAATGTGGTGTATTACAGTGACTGATTTCTATACGTTCAATCACCCTTGAGTTCTGGGATAATCTCACCTGTTCATGACTTCGAATTCTTTTTTAATGTTGTTGGATTCTCTTTGCAAGTATTTTGTTGAAGATTTTTCCTATATTCCTAAGGAATATCTGTCTTTAGCTTTCTTTTCTTATGCCTTTGTCTGGATTTGGCAATGCTAACCTCATAGAATTGTGTTGGGAAGTATTCCCTCTTATTCTATTTTTTGTTTGTTTGTTTTTGAAGAGTTTGTGAGGGATTGATTGGTTTTAATTATTCTTTAAATGTTTGGTAGAACTTACCAGTGAACCCATTTGGTCCTGGGCTCCCCTCCCCACCCCCCGGAAGCTTTTTATTTCTTATTTAGTTTCTTCACTTGATAAGGATCTATTCAGATTTTCTATTTCTTCTTCAGTCAGTTTCAGTAGCTTGGGTGTTTTTATTTTGTGTAGATTAGCTAATTCATTGGCATACAATTGTTCTAGTATTCCCTTATCCTTTTTGTTTTTATGAAGCCAGTAGTAATGTTCTTTCTTTCATTTCTGATTTTTGTACATTGAGTATTTCTCACTTTTTCTTAGAGAATCTATCCAGAAATATGTCAGTTTTGCTGATCTTTTCAAAGAGGTAACTCTTTATTTTGTTTGTTCTCTCTTTACAATTTTATTTATTTCTGCTCTAATCTTTATTATTTCTTTTATTCTTTTTATTTGGGCTTAGTTTACTCTTATTTTTCTAGTTCTCTTAAGGAAGAAGATTAAGTTATTATTTTGAGGTTTTCTTCTTTTTAAAAATAATACCGGCATTTAAAGCTGTCAATTCCCCTCTAAGCACTACATCCCATAATTTTTGGCGTGTGTACCTTCATTTCCATCCATCCAAAAGTATTTGCTAATTTCACTTATGGTTTTTCTTCCCTTTTGATCCATTGGGGTTATTTAAGAGTGTGTTATTTAATTTTGACACATCTGTGAATTATTCAATTTCTTTCTCTTATGGATTTCTAATTTCATTCCAGTGTGGTCAGAGAACATCCTTTGATTATTTCATTATTTTAAAATTTGTCAAGACTTGTTTTATGTCTTAACGTATGATTTTTTCAGATCAATGTTCCAAATGCACTTGAGTAGAGTGTATATTCTACCATTGTTGAGTGGAATATTCTTTACATGCCTGTTAGGTGTAATTGGTTTATAGTGTTGTTCAAGTCCTCTGTTTACTTGTTAATTTGTACAGTTGTTCTATCCACTATTAAAAGTGGCTGTTGAAGTCTTCAACTATCATTGTTGAAGTGTCTATTTCTCCTTTCAGTTTTATCAATTTTTGCTTCATGTGTATTAGGGCTCTATTATTGGGTGCATATGTTTTTATGTTACTTTAATTTGTGCTTTTTCTAATGCACAAATTAGAACATTTTTCTTCTTTTTTATGTAAATTTAAGTTTCTGACTTGTATAATTCTTTCTTTCTGAAGAATTTAACTTTTTTTTTTTTTTTTTTTTTAAAGCAGGCTTACTGGTAACACATATCCTCAGTTTTTGTTTGCATAAGAAAGTATTTATTTGCCCTTAACTTTTGAAGTATAATTTTGCTGGATACAGAATTCTAGGTTGGTGGGCTTTTTTTTTCTTTCTACACTTTAAATGTTTCATCTCACTGTTTTCTAGCTTGTATGGTTTCTAAAGGTATGTATGTATGGGTCTTTCTCTCTCCCCCCCCCTCTCTTTCTGCATGTCTCATAATTTTTTATTGAAAACTAGACATTTTAAATAATGTGGCAGTTTTTGAAATCATATTCTTTCCACTTTTCAAGTTTTTATTTAGTGACTTTTCCTTTCCTCTCCTGTCCCCCCCCCATCCTCTCCCCTCCCCTCATCTTCTTTCCTCTTCTCTCCTCTCCTCTCCTCTCTTCTCTTTTCTTATAGGCTTCACATCTAGCACAGAGCTCAATGCAGGGCTTGAACTCAAGTCATGAGATCAAGACCTCAGCTAAGATCAAGAGCAATCGACTGAGCCACCCAGGCACCCTTGTTTAATGACTTTTCTGAACTAACTTTGTAAAGTCTGTATTTTTTGTCATGGACAGCCACTGAAGTGTCTGATTGGTTAGTTTAGTGATCAGCTCATGATTGGACAGAGATTTCCTTAAATGCCCGCAAAGAATAGTCTTCCAGTATTTGCTGAGGGGCTCTTTGTGTGTTTGAACATTCCTTCAGTACTCTGCCAGGCAGCTTAGAGCCCTGCCTTAGGCTTCATTTACTGCTTGTGCAGAGCTCCAAGGTCAGCCAGAGGTAAGAGTTTAGGGCCTGCTCAGTTCTTCCCTGAGCAAGCACACAGCCCTGAGCTTGCTCACAGCCCTACACGTGTGAGTGGCTTTCTAAACTCCCAAGAATATGTCGAGCTTCCCTATGGACATTTCATTCCCTAGATTTTCCTTTAAGGTTTTTTGTTAGTCTATTATTTGCTCCATCTGTTATCTGATCCTTCAGGCAGCTAGAAGTTTAGACATTTCCCTCTGATTTTTTTCAACAAAGGCCTTTTGACAATTTCTTATAAAGGGGCGTGAAGGAACTCCAAACCCATTCTGCCCTTTCCAGTGCTGGATTTTCACTGAAATTGCAGGCTGTTGGTTGCAAGGCTACTGCCTACTTGGGAACAGGGGCAGATGGGAGCGGGAGAAGTAGAAATGCCACAAAACCCGGTGTTCATACTAAGATTCTGCCGTAATTAATGAATAAGGGCTCCCTAGATTCCTGCAAACCTTTGGTTAATTTCTAGAGTTCTGCAAAAGTGGGTTCTGACAATTTTTGCCAGTTTTCTTATTACCTTCACGGAGGAGAGGATTTTCAGAGGTTCCTTACTGAACCATTGTTGGTGCTTGTGCCTTCTGCTCTGCCCTGGGGATGGATACACAGTGAGGCACCTCAAGAGAGCACAGGGAATCCGAACTTTCCACCCTTACTGCCCACCAAAGGCATGAGTCAGTGGTAGTCAAGATGCAGATGGATTTTCCTACCCAAGAACTTCCTCATTTCCTCATTTTGGAAAAATTATTGGATCCACTAAAAACAATGAGTCTGAAATCACGATCTTGTGTTCATTTTAAGATGAGTTTTTGAAACATTGGCAAGGTCATCACTAGCATTTTTAGAGTCCCCAGCTGTCCTTTCAGAAAAGGAATAGAGAGGAGGCTGGCCACATTTGTCACGTGCGCTCAAAGATAATGTAATCTCTTTTCTTTTATGTCACAGGGATTTAATGTGCAAAATGGTGGTTATACCGGACGAGCATATTTTGTATCCTCCCACACAAAAGCTCATGAACTTAAGACCTCACTCTTCACCATGTAGAGTGTATTCAAGGAATGGTTTCCAACATATGTTTAGACCTTCTTCAAGTGAGTATTCATGAGGAAATAATACTAATAGTAGATATTACTTAAGTGTGTTTGGTATGTACCAGACTCTGTACAAAAGCTTCGTATATCATTTAACCACATGCAATAGAGCTATGAGGTAGACTCCATTACTGTCCCCATATTCTTTATGGGGAAACTGAGACACAGGTTGATTAAGCCACTTGCCCAGAAGTCATATAGTTTTAAAGTGGCAGGGTCAAGATTTGAACCCAGACAGTGTGATTCCGAAACTAGTGGATACTTAGTCTACCTCCTTACTTACTTTTTCTTAATTAGGGACTCTCTCCTTAATTACTACTCTTTAGTAGCTTTAGGGTTACAGAGAAATGTAGCTGAAGTCCAGAGAGTTCCATACACCCCTTCACGCCTCATCCCTGTTGTTCCCTATTATTGACATCGTGCATTAGTGAGGTGCATTTGCTGCGATTGCTGCACCATTATTGACATGTTGTGATTAACTGAAGTCTGCAGTTTACAGTAGACTTGTTCTTTGTGTTTTGCGTCCTCTGGGTTTTGATAAACATATAATGGCACGTGTCCAGCTTTATGATATCCCACGGAATCATCTCACTGCACTAAAAATCCATGGTGCTCCACCCATTCATCCCTCCCTGCCCCTAATCTGGACGACCACAGGTCATCTTACTGTCTCCATAGTTTTGCCTTTTCAGAGTGTCATGGAGTTGGAATCCTACAGCATGTAGACTTTCGAGATGGGCTTCTTCCCCTTAGCAGTATGCACTTGAAGCTCCTTCCTGTCTTTTGATGTGGTAACAGTCCAGTTTTTAACCCCCGAATAATATGCTTTTACATGGAAGTCCCACGGTTAGCTTATCTGCTCACTACTGAAAGACACCTTGGTTGATCTCACATCTTGGCTATCATGAATAAAGCTACTATAAACATTTGCGTGCAGGGTTTTGTGTGGATTTAAGTTTTAAACTCGTTTGCATCTCTCAGTTTTGAAGCAAGAAAATTTAACATAATAATTTCCCCAAAGTAGATGTCTTTTCATCTCTCCTTCCCTCCCTCCTTTCCCCCTCCCCTTCCTCCTCCCTCCCCTCCTCTCCCTCCCTTCCTTCTTTGCTGAACATTTTCCAAGCCCCAGCATGTGACAAGATCTGTTATAGGTACTGAGATGGGCCCCGCAGAGGGCCTGCCCTTATGGCGCTCACAGTCCAGAGACGGGGGTAAAGAATTTTAGTGGCACAAGGCAAACACGACCAGAACAGAAGTGTGTGTGTGGAAAGCACAGTGAGTGCAAGACCAGAGGTGCCAGGAGGCCTCATACACTGAATTCTGCCTTGAGAGGCGGGGGAAGGCATTCTAGTCAAGTCGGACTGGACGCCGCGCTTCCTCACCGGACGCGACTTGAATCACAGGGTCACAGACATCTATCCAGGAGCCTGGAAATCCACGTCTCTAGATGGCCAAGTGTCTGCCCAACTTTCAGTGTGTCCGTTTCTAAGGAAAAGGGGAGAATAGACCGGGATCGGCTAGCAGCTTCCAACCCTGTTCAGCAGCCCACGTCCAGTGTACTCTGGACACGTCCTAGCTTACCTTTCTGACCCCACAGAGCAGCCTGGATTGATGGGTGTCCCGCTGAGCCTCTTATATTCCGCCACACTGCCCTTTAGAAGTTTGTGCGTGAACGTGCCCACAAGGAATATTCGGAAGAGTTTATCTTGAAGTATCCTAACATCTTCTGCATTTGATAGGCACAAGCAATATCCCATTGTGATTCCACCTGCCTTTCTTGAACAGGGAAGTGAACTTTGATTCTCCGGTTTGTCAGCTTTCTATCTCTCTTTTGTGAGCCACCTGTTGATATCCTTTGCCGGTTCCCCTGCTGTGAGCAGGTCTTAGGGTGATCTGTGGGAGCTCGCTTTGTATGGAAGGTACTAGTCCTTCATCTGCCTTACGTGCCGGTGCCTGTTTCTCCCTTTGGTCACTTGCCTTCCATTTTTTTGATGGTAATTCTCAATGCTGAATTCCTTTTTCTTGTTTAAATTAAAAGTCTCCTAGCACCATGTGCTTCCCCGAAAATGAGGACCATGAAGTGTTTGGCGGCCTCTCTCTCCTGCATGCTGGTGCATGGAGGTGATGTATTTGTATAACTCATATATTAAATAAAAACTGTTTATGGGGGTAAGCCACAGATAGGACACATCTGTTTCCTTTTAAAACAGTTTTTGCTTTAGGTTCAAATGTGAAGAATTGTTCTGCACCTGACTTTATATTCACTAGGCTTTTCTTCTATCATGTGCAGTCTGCGGTTAAGCAGGTCAAGTGGATTTATTTTACTTCTGATCTTCTACTTTTCAAAAAAAAATTTTAACGTTTATTTATTATTGAGAGACAGAGAGAGACAGAGCACAGGTGGGGGAGGGGCAGAGAGAGAGGGAGACAGAGAATCCGAAGCAGGCTCCAGGCTCTGAGCTGTCAGCACAGAGCCCGACATGGGGCTTGAACCCACGAACTGTGAGATCATGACCTGAGCCAAAGTCGGATGCTCAACCGACTGAGCCACCCAGGTGCCCCGATCTTATACTTTTAATTTCTAGCTTTGTCGTGTGCTGTAGACAGTGTCCTTTTCCCCACTGAAATCCCCTGTACATTCTGTGTGTTAACTTTGCCTGTAATCTCTTGAACGCGTTTACCGTTTCTGCTTTACATACCTGATCGTTTCTCCATCCATTCTCTCTGCGGCTCTTCAGGTTTCGCTCTTGATTAGGTCACCTTCTCTCATTTCACTTGTCTCGAAGTTTTAAAAAGATTTAATAGCATACGTTTGCGTAGAGACTGACAGAAGCAGAAGTGACTGTCGAATGCCCCGTCCCTCAGGCTTCAAGTGAGATGGGCTGCGGTCCCAGTTTCACCTCCAGTCCGAGCTGTTGTCTGGACTCGGTTGCGGCTGCCCCTGGTTTCGAGTGTTTCCTTCAACAGCTCTGGAGATCTGAGCGCTTCCCAGTCCAGCCGCCGAGCTGGCACCCTGGGGAGAGCTCTCTGCTTTACAGCCACCCCCTGCCGGTCTGGGGGGGGGGTCGCTGGGGTGGGGGGGTTCTCTTTGTCTTCCAGCCCAGCTCCTAGTGTTCTGCCCCCGAGGAGGCCTCTGTGTGCCCTGCCTGCCTCCACTCTGCAGTGGGCCACTGAGGTGCGCTCAGCCTTAGGGACTCGCCTCTGCTCTCCCGCTCTGTCCTCGGCCTTTGGTGAGTGGCTGCCCTGTGCCTGTGCCCCGCAGTGGTGTGCCGCTTCCACCCCCGCGGGGGGCCCAGGAGGCTGGGCATGGGCTTGCTCTGTGACTGAGGCCCCCGCCCGCCAGCCCATCACCCCTGTTCCCGCGCAGTCACTGAATGGTTGGTTCGTTTTTCCTCGCCCCCGTGGAGAATGAATGTGCTCTGCTTCCCTGGGGGTCCCTGGCCCGTCCCGTCTGAGGAGTGGCCTCCCCTTTCTGGAATTGAGGTTCTTGGTGTCCTTCAGTTCTCTGGTGGGCTTAAAAATGAGCATCCCACTTGTTCTCTTCGTTAGGGTGAGAGTGACAATCTTGCGACTGTCATATGTTCTAGACAGATACAGAAAACTTTGCCAAACTGCCCTCCAGAAAGATGATATCAGCGAGTTTGGTTCCTGCTTTCTTTTCAGACCTTGGGAGGCGTGTTAGGCACGTGAAACAAAGTTTTCCTTTTAATGTCCACTAGTTTCAAACCAATGTTTTTGATGACTTTTAAATTAGAATTGTTGATTGCCAAAATGGTGCTTCTTGGAAAGAAACTAAAAATGACATGAAAAGTCCAAAAACAGATTTCAAGGTGGAGACATCATTTCATGGGAGAGGCCCCTCCATGACCTGGGGCTGGAGGAGGAGTTCGGGGCCGGATGGACAGAGGGTGAAACAGGGCTCACGAGCCCACGAGGATCCATGCAGCCCCTCCCTATGGGTCGGCTGCTTCGGAGAGTCCGGTGACAGAAGTGGAGGGGAGGGCATGGCAGGGCCCCTGGAAATCTATGACATTTAGGTCTCTTCTCTCTCGGGACTCCTACTCAGTCCTCTTCCCTGCATCTGCTCCCCTCGAGGTGAGCCTCTGACTCCCTTCCCTGCATCCCTACACATCATGCATAACCAGGGGGATAGCCCCATTCTGACTTCCCTCCTGAGCTCCGCATCAGATCTCCCGGTGCCCCCCGACCTTGCTGCTTGGGTTCATCGGATGGGGACCTCAGCCGTGAGCCAGCCAACCAGACCCCTTCGCTCCGGTGCTCTCCATCGTGGTGAATAGCACCACCATTCCTGTGGTTCCTCAGGCCCAGCCCCCGTCATTCTTGGTTTCTTCACACCCTGTCCTGCTGGGCCAATCAATCAGCAAAACCCTGTCCACTCTCTTTCTTTCTTTCTTTTAAATTTTTTAAAAATTTGTTTCTGAGAGAGAGAGAGAGAGAGAGACAGACAGCATGAGCAGGGAGAGGCTCCCTTAAAAGTCATGTTTCTCAGGGTCCCTTCTTCTCTTCGGGTTTGGTGTGCTTCCCATGTGGCTTCCACATGGCCAGTTCTCCCACTTCTGATCTCTAAATGTGTGTGTTCAGCTTCCAAGTGGCCACCCCCACTCAGAGGTCCCAGACTGGATTCATTAGTTTTCCTATAAACCTTTTTCTCATCTGTCCCAGTATTTATTGCCGTATACAAACTGCTGCGAACATAGAAGCTCGGAATTGCAATAACCATTTGTTTTGCCCACAGATCTGCAATTTGAGCAGATCCCGGGGACAGCTTGTCTCTGCTCCAGGCGGTGCGGTTGGGGAGGCAGCGGGTACCTGAGGCTGGAATGATCCCAAGGCCGGCTCCCCCCCGTTGGCTGGAGCCTCAGCTGGGGTGCTGGCCAGAACACCAGCCGTGGCTTCCCTGTGTGACTTCTAGACCTCCTCCCAGCCTGGCTTGTGGCCTGAGCATCTTCCAAGGACTAGCCAGAAGCTACAACGCTGTTGTGACCTCATCTTGGAAATCACATAGGGTCCCTCCGCCCTTGTCAAAGGCCCACTCAGATTGAAGGGGGAGGAGCATGTGTCCCACATTTCGATGGGAGGAGCGTGAGCGGGGCCTTGTAAGGAAAGCATGTGTGGTGGCGGTCTTGTTGTGGCCATCTTGGAAAATGCCACCACCACATCCTGTGGTTTTCCCTTTCTCAGCGAAGGGTGTCACCACCCGCCAGGCTGGCCTCTTCTACTACCTCACCCTGCTTGTCAAGTCAGAAGATTCTGTGGACTCAACCTGATCGTTCATTCACTCCTACTTTCCCCTCCGCACCCATCCTGTTAGTGTAGATCTCCATTAGTACTTGCCTGAGCACGCTGTTAGTTAATGACATGTCTCCATACTGTCACTGTGTCCTCTCCTTTCTGTCCCTCCTACACGTGATGTCAGAATGCGGTTTAAGAATGAAAATCAGGTGACATCATTCTCTCGATGGAAGTCTCAGCTTGGTGTCCCGTGACCAGAGACCAAAGCCGGGTAGGAGCACATGGGGTTTGACCCCTTCTGACTTCTCCAGTCTCATCTCCGGGCTGATGCCTCCTGTGCTTGTCCCTTCCTCTGTTTGCCTTGAATGGCTGTCCTTCACAGCAACCCCCAACTTCTAGCCTCTCTCACTCTTGGGAACACCAAGCTCCAGCTGAAGTGTCACCTCTTTTTTGTAAGCAGCTTTTCCTGAGATGTTCAGCCTATCACCCCAAACCAGCCACGCTCCTTTCTGGGTCTCCAGTGTGTCCTGGTTATGGAGGCAGTGGGCATGGTGAGCGGAAGGCATCCCTGGCACCCGGCATAGGCATCCTGGGTGCTTGGCGAGCGTCAGGGAAGGTGAACTTTGCTGACAGTTCATGCCAGAGTGGCTTGACACCTGGATAAGAAATTCTCATTTGAAGGGAAATAGCTAGAGTCATCCTTCCCCAGCTCTTGCTTGTGAATGACTTTATAAAAGAAGAGATGACATTAAAGATACTTAACACACATCCGGAACTTACTGTGTCAAGCAGAGCTACTAACTAAACTGTGATTACCAAGCCTTTGCAATCTCATAAGTAAATAGAAGAGATTTACCAAACTACCTTTAGTTTTAGCCTCCTCTTTCTTGAACAGGTTATAAAATATCAAAATGGAATAATCATGTGTTCATGTTTATGAAACTGATTGATACCATGAGTTGATTTGTAGTTACTGTATTTGCTTGTTTCCACCTTAGACAGAGGAAAGGGAGGCTGGGGTGTGCCAGCTCTCCCCTGGGATCTACAGCACTGTGGCCCCAGGAAGTGCAGCCCCCCCTCCCCTGAGAGCTTATTTAGCACCTTCTAACTTTCTTTCATTACCTTCCAGGGGCCAGCCATTCTCCTCTCTCCCTTGTCTTAGAAAGGGAAATGATCTAGATTGAAGAATTACATGTTTCCCCCTCAAAAATTGGCAAGGGGATGAAAAGCGAATATGATATTTTAAAGATTTATTTGAAATGATACTGTTCCAACTGAATTTTTCTTCCAAAATCCATGTTCTTTGCTTATAATGATACATGTGTCCTGTATAGGCAAGATTATCTTTGCTTTGCTTTTTCTGTTTAACGTGATTACTGTTATTTTATATTGACCAGATTTCAGAGGTGAAAAATGGCTATAGATTTGCCGTTGCAAGTCATGCAGTGCTTAGATGCATAAAGCGAGATACAGTGGAAGAAAGAGTGGGAAGTTTGTTGGATTCTAGTCTGCAGTGAAGTGGTCTTGGAGATCTCTGTTTTAAGCACGTCCAATAAACAACTGTATCTCTTTTACAGCCACTGCTATTGCAAACCCAGTACTGTCCTCCTTAGATATCAAGCGGATTTTATTTCAAAAAATTACTGATAAAGGAGATGAGTTGAAAAAGGCCTTTCAGCTGCTCGATACTAGTCACAACATGACAGTGTCGAAGAGTGAACTGAAAAGAGTTGTCACCACCTTTCTGATGCCTCTCACGAGGGAACAGTTTCAAGATGTCCTGGCTGAGGTACAGTATGCACAAGCGACTTAGAATAACCCAGCTCTGGAAAAGACAGGGTTGGTTACTGGAGCAGGCATCTGTTCTGGTTTCCCCCCCATGGTTCCTAGGGAGTGGTTCAATTTTATTTTTTAATGTTTTTTTTATTTATTTCTAGGAGAGAGAGAGAGAGACAGCGTGAGCAGGGGAGGGTCAGAGAGAGAGGGAGTCACAGACTCTGAAACAGGCTCCAGGCTCCGAGCTGGCAGTCAGCACAGAGCCCGATGCAGGGCTCGAACCCATGAATCGCGAGATCATGACCTAAGCAAAAGTCGGACGCTTAACCGACTAAGCCACCCAGGCGCCCCGGGAGTGGTTCAAGTTTTGTTCATTTTTTTTTTTTTTTATGTTTTATTTATTTCTGAGAGAGACAGACAGCGTGAGCAGGGGAGAGTCAGAGAGAGGGAGATACAGAATCTGAAACAGCCTCCAGGCTCTGAGCTAGCTGTGAGCACAGAGCCCGATGCGGGGCTCGACCCCATGAACTGCGAGATCACAACCTAAGCCGAAGTCGGACACCTAACTGACTGAGCCACCCAGGCGCCCCCGTTTTGTTCATTTTTCATAATTCAGTTAAATTCCGGTAGATGTGGGGTGATCAATGTGGACACAGGTCATATTTTGTATGCAGTACTGGTACAGCCATTCCCTTTAGTTTTTTTCTTTGTAAGGCCTCCATGTAAAAAGGATTTGGTAAACTCCTATTTTGGAACTTAGTATTTTGGCCTTTGTTCTTGCATTGAATGGTTATTGAGCACCTACTGTCTGCTGGACCCAATGCAGTATGATCAGACGCGGGCCCGCCCTTGAGGGGTCTCAGTGCCATGAGAGGTATTTGCAAGTGTTGGTAAGTGTGGGAGTTACGGGAAGGAGAGCTACCTAAAAATGGGGTGGTTGCCCAAGAAGGCTTTGGGGAGGAAGGGGTATATGTAGTTGAGTTTTGACGGAGGAGTGGGTAGTAGCCAGGAGAAAGAACGGAAGGGCATTATAGGCAGAGGGAATAATTGCCCAGGTGAAATCATGATGCCTGAATCAGCATGGCATGTCTGTTCAGTGTCATTTGTATCCAAAGCAAAGGGATACGTGTCGGGTTGTGGACGGGGGGGGGGGGGGGGGGACAGTCCTGAAAGTACCACGTAAAGAGTTTTGACCTCTGTCCTGGAAGCTGTAGGGGGCCAAGGAAGGGTTTACAGCAGGGGTGAGGCAGTTACTTGGGGAGGGGTATGGAGGACAGGCCCTGGGGCCTTCCAGTGGGATATCATACTAGGGGGCTGTAACTAGTGAACACTTGGTGAGGTCTCGGTCCTCGGGACCTTAAAAAAAGGAATACACAATACAATAGGAATTAAACACTCTCACAATAAATCTATAGGAATCAATATCATAATACCAAAGTAGAAGAGTTGGTTGGGAATATCAGTAGTGTGTCTTCCAACCCAATAACCCAATTATTAATTTGCGCGCGCACACACACACACACACACACACACACACATACACAGACACAGAAATATACATATTTTTACTTATTCATTACTACTTCATCAGAGACTAGCATTTTATAGTTTTTAAAAGCTTATTTCCTTCTAGACTTTGTTGCCTACCTCAACCCAACCCAGTTTGTGTTCTTTAACCACAGGGAAATTTTGTGTTAGGAAAACAAACAGCCCAGAGAAATTTCCGGTATACCTGAATTCCAGTCTTAGCCTCAGGGATTGGCTCTCCTTCCTTTGACTGATTTAGGAAAAAAAAATTGTAGATTTATTTGTTCTTTCTTCTTGAGCATACCATGGTAGTTTCATGAATTTCTTTTCCTTTAATTTTGTTTTCCACTGAGTTTGGGGTTTGTAGCCATTATTTTTTGATATATATGTTTTACTTTATCCTCTATGAGACATTTTGGTGCCCCTGAGGCTCTGTTGATCTTTTAAATCTTTTTTTTCCCTATTTTTCAGATTGGATAAGATCTGCTAATCTGTCTTCAAGTTCAGTGATTCTTTGTATCCCTATTCTGCTATTAAGCTCATTCAGTGAATATTTAATATTAGACATAGTATTTTTCAGTTCTGGAATTTCCATTTCGTTCTTTTTTATGATTTCTATTTATCTGTGTAGGTTTCCTGTTTTTTCTTCAATTATGGGTATATTTCTTTTAACTCATTAAGTATAGTTAAAATAGCCGTTTTAGAATCCTTGAATGAAGGGTGCCTGGGTGGCTCAGTTGGATAAGCGTCTGACTCTTGATTTCAGCTCAGGTCATGATCCCAGAGTTGTGGGATCAAGTCCTGAGTTGGGCTCCATGCTGAGCATGGAGCCTGCTCAAGATGCTCTCTCTCTCTCTCTCTCTCTCTCTCTGTCCTCCCCACCTTGTGGTCTCTCTCTCTCTAAAGTAAAAATAAATAAAATAAAGTCCTGGAATGATAAATCTAATACCCGGGTTGTCTCAGGGTTGGCCTGCATTGATTTTCTTTTTCTTAACAAGGATCACATTTTTCTGGTTGTTCATATTTGCATATACAGTAAAACCTTGGTTTGCAAACATAGTCCTTCTGGAAACATGCTTATAATCCAAAGCACTTGTGTATCAAATCAAATTTCCTCATAAGAAATAATGGAAACCCCGATGATTTATTCCACAGCCCAAAAATATTCATATAAAAATGATTACAATATTGTAATATAATATAAAATAGTGAAGAAAATACAAACTATAAAGAAAAATAAACAAATTATCCTGCACTTACCTTTGAAAGCCTTTGTGGCTAGTGTGAGGGAGACAAGAGGTAGAAGGGTTATTGTGTAGGACTACTTTCACTATGACTAATGGAATCACTGCTATCTATCGGCTCAACTGAATCTTTTTCTTTTTGTGCAACTTTAACAAGGAACCTATCCAATGACCCTTGCTTTCGCCTCCTTTTGAGGATTTTGCAGAAATGTGACATTGCATTGTGGTTAAACAGATTCATTGCTCGCACTGCTCCAGCCTTATTTGAGTGATGCTTTTCTACAAAATTTTGCACTGTTTCCTACATTTTACACATCTCCCAAATCTCATTTGAAGCGAGGGATTCCTCTGCCCTTTTCTCTTCCTCCTCTTCTGCAGATGAGATGCAGATATAGACTTCTTATAAAATCTTGCAATTTCGGCCACTTACATACTTTGTTCATACTTCTTGATTTCCTTCCTAACTTCCATTGTAATCATCTCCTTCTTACCACTGTTCAGTCGTTTTCTGTGTGTGGGCCATTGTATATGCTCACACAGATGTTGATTGTACTAGAATATTAATAAACACTTATGTACTTTATATAATGTAACTGGCAATTAGGCAGCAGAGGAAAGGGTCTATATCTGCAGGCAGGCTGACCTAGAATGAAACAAAGCACTCCTAAGCTTACTCTTGGATGGAAAAGCAAAGGACTGTCCATAGGTGCTTTGAAGTGACAAAAAATACACTAGTGTCACTTGTGGGCACCTTCTAGCGTTCTGAAAAATCATTGATTTCTGCCAAACACCGCAGCCTGAGAGTGAGCATCCAAGCATGGGAAGCAATCATCCACAGTCCTACAATGAGAGAGGGAGAGAAGGAGAGAGAGAGAGAGAGAGAGAGAGACGAACCACTGGCTCAGTTGTGATTGTGATGTTCAGCATCACATACTACTCATATTGCAAGACGTTGCTCGTTTATCAAGTTAAAATTTTATTAGAGACATTTGCTCATCTTGCAGAACACTCACAAAACAAGTTACTCACAATCCAAGGTTTTACTGTATTTGGATTATATCCCAGACCAGTGCTATCCAATAGAAATACAGTGTGAGAGGTGCCTGGCTGGCTCAGTCAGTGGAGCCTACAGTTCTTGATCTCGGAATTGTGAGTTCATGCTCCACATTGGGTGTAGAGATTACTGAAAACTAAAATTAAAAAAAAATGTATTTTAAAATTCTTAGTGACTCACATGTGTAATTTGGAATGTTCTAATAGCCACCTGAAAACAAGTAGGTGAAATTAATTTGAATATTTTAATTTAATGAACATATCCAAAATATGTCATCTCAACATGTTATCACTATTAAAAATTGACAGTCAGTAGTTATTTTGCACTTTTCTGTATATGAAGTCTTTGAAACCTGCTATATACTTTACACTTACATATGATTTCACATACTAAATTCCCATTGGAAATACTTGATCTATATTTAGATTTTGTACAATTTATAATTAAAATACCAGCTTCACATACTTAGTCATTCCAAACATACTTAAAAGTTTTCCACTGAATTAATTTAATTAATTTATTTTTTTGATTCATCAAACCCACTATTGTTAGATGTTGTTACATTTTAAATATTTTTAAAATGTTTATTCATTTTTGAGAGACAGAGAGAGACAAAGCATTAGCAGGGGAGAGACAGAGAGAGAGGGAGAGATAGAATCTGAAGCAGGCTCTAGGCTCTGCACAGGCAGCACTGAGCCCAAAGCAGGGCTTGAACCCATGAACTGTGAGATCATGACCTGAGCTGAACTCAGATGCTTAACCAACTGAGCCGCCCAAGCCCCCTCACTGAATTAATTTTAAATTTTAAATTAATTAACATTGAATAAAAAGCTTCAGTTCATCAGTTGCCCTAGCCTCATTTCAAGTGCTCACCAGCCACATGTGACTGTGGCTGCACATCAGACAGTACAGGGCTAAACATTATGCATACAAGGCTGTGGAGACTAGATTCTGTTACATTCCTCTGAAGACTGTTGATGCTTCTGCTCTGGCAGGAATTAACCTGCAAACTCTGTCTTGCCCACAGTGAACAGTTGGTTGCTTCTGAGTTTGGCCTATTTGCTTTTTGGTGGGTCTCTGAGTCTGGCTCCCACCCGCCGAGTTCGGGCATCATTTGGAAACTCAGACAGAATTTAGAACAGAAAGCGGGTCTCCCTCTCTCTCCTGTTTGAGATTTCCCTCACATTT